AGTGAAGAAGTATAAGATAATTAAGCTCATTTTGACGTTGCGAACTGGAAATCATGAGCTATACATGCGTAGAAGGAAGTCTGACTATCAAAGTGCACGTTATGAAGATACAGACGAAAAGTAGACGTGAATTGAAGGAAGTGCATTTACCTTGATGATGAAGAATATCTAAATCCTTCACAGTAAAAGGGTTGAGACTGACCTTTGCATTTGGTTTCAACTTATTCCCGTGTTCCACAGACAAGCTATTAACAACTGAAGCGGCACCTACCTGAACCATCTGAAAAAGTTTAGCATCAGAATATCTCCTAATAAATCCATGTATAGGTTTTGGAAATGGCACTACGGTTTTCCTTACATACGAGACGGTGACTCATCCCATTTCCCTTGTAACATATGTTTTAGATCAGAGTTCCACCATCTATTCCCAGAAGCAATTGATGGTCAGCGGGTGTAGGCGGCCCCGAATCTGGTTGTCAGACTGAATGCAACTCCATATCCAGTTAAAGTTGCCAAAGACATCAAGTACGGTTCCTCAGTTTCATGCTATCTGTCGAGTGGCGCAGTTGGTTCGTGGGTGATGGCTGGTGGGGAGGTGTACCATGGGAACCGCCGAGGACGTCGCTCAAAAGAAGAGAGAGACAGTGTAATGGCTTGCTTGTGTGATGCTTGTCGGTCACTTTAGGATTCGATTGGCTGTTGTGCACGTGGTGATGGCCTTCGGGCCACGCTTAGGCCCCATTTGTCATGCCGTCTTCGTAATGTATGTATTCAGCTGCACTTACTGACTTCTTATACTAGCTATAAAGTCTTTTAACGCTGTATTTTATAGTAGGATTTATTCCTTAGGGACGCAGACACTTTATTGTGCAATAAGCCAACAAACTATGATCGCGAAAATCAACCTGTGATATTTGCGCACTCTAAAGCGTCACCAAAACGAAGCAAAAAATAAATAAATAAATGGATCAAAATTTTTCCATATTTTTCTTTATTGTTTTTGAAGATTTTTTGTTTGAGGAAATTGAATGTTGTTATGTTTGTTTTTCTAATAACCGCATACCCCAAATCTTTCCTTAACCAGGTGATGACAGCTGCTGGCACCCCTTCATGGATTAACGATATACTTTCTCAGCTTTTTATCCGCGACGCTAAACAATCTCGTGGCTATAGAAGCATTGTTGACTACTGTAAATAATTTCATTTTTTTATTTCCCTGAAAGACACCGGTGTTCGAGACCGGGTCTTTCGACTTGATGCTGTTAATGCTCGGCTCGAACGGGAAAACAAAAGGCTCTCTGCTAAGGTTGAAGCTGGGTAAAATATTTTCATTTTGGTTACACTTTTTAAAGGAGGATTGTAGCCAACCTTCCCAACCCCTCAGAGTTGGAATCGAAGGTGTTGAATCTTCAAGAAGAGGTCATCAATCTCCATCGCCAAATTGATAAGGTTTGGCTCCCTCTATCTAAACATGCCTGTGATCTAGTTGCAATGCGAAGCCAAGGAAAAGCAGAACAAAATCGAGGAACAAACAAACAGGTTAATCTTGCCTTATAGCAGAACTTTCACTTTAGAATTAAAGAGTTAAATAATCTTCTTGCAGAATCGAACAAAATAAACCGAACCTGTATGGAAACAATTGAACATCTTAAGTCTGCCAATAGTACTCTCCTGGATGAGCAGACCGCTAATGCTCTAACAGTGGAACGCCTCGAGTATGATAAAAGAGAATTAGTGGAGGAGCGAACGCAATATTTGGCACAAATCACTTTCCTTCAAAAACAGATTGAGGATCTCAAAAATACTGAATCAGATATGAGACTTCAGTGAGTATTCCAGGTTTGTTTTTACTATTTGACGCCTAGACTTCAGCGTGAATTGATACACAGAGGCCTTCTAGACGCTGCCTGCATGCCCCTTAGTGTGGAAGAATCACCGTCCGATCAAAAGTGCCGTACTTTGTCTTCTCTACCTGACGTAATCGCCTTCTCTATTGTAAGTCGTTTGTTACTTTTAAGCTCTTAATCCCCTAGACTACGGCTGATGATGTGAATTGCGTTAGAATCAGTCCCTCGGGCGATCTTTTTTCTTATGGTGGGCTAGACAGAAAGGTTTGGCTGTGCAATATCAAAGGTGGTGGGTAAAAATGATTTCTTTTTCCACTAGTATCCTTTGTTTTAGAGAAATACGATTCGCAAACCTCCTTGGTTGGATGCAATGCTGGCGTTACTGCGGTGGATTTTGATAAAGATGTAAGGTTTTGGTAAAATAGTGTCGATTTGGTCAAGCCTTTTTTGGCAAGTTTGTAGTGTCTTACTTTTTTGGCTGCTAAGGTTTTTGT